ATGCTAATCAGTAGCTCTTTGCCATACCCGCTCCTTCAACGCTCTGACTTTCAATGTTGTCAGAGCGCAGGCTGAGAATCTCTGAGCCTGTGCTCTAACTCACTAACTGAGCGCCGGAACCATGAGGGAGAGGATATAATCTGACTGCACCTACTGCTAATGCGCACCAGTGGACCACCAGCGAATCGTTTGTATTGAATATGCTGGTGTACCCAACTTGTGAGCTGAGTTGGCCGCCGGGCGCCTCTGTTGTCATGGCGCCCTATGTGACCTCACAGCTTGCACACCCCAACGGCTGGCCCTGCTGACACACACTGATGTCACTACTTAGAAATCCCTCAATATTAATACAGACATCAGAGTAAACACCAATAAACTGTGCAAACAGAGCCGATCCCCCAAATTTATAAAGATTTGCTTACTGGATTTGTTGTAAGATTAAATCATGCCTCCTCCTCCTCTCTCTCTCCCATGCGCTGCTCTGTAGGCTGGGAGGAAGTGTACTGAGTATGCCCACAAGGCCCACTCATAAATCCACTTTTATGTTCCAACCACCCATGAGTTCGCTCACAGGGAGTGGAGTGTGTAGGGGATGTGTTATGTGTTATTGTAGAGGATCTAATATGTGTGCTTATGGTATGTACTGTATAGGGATACCAGTTTGTGTAGGTGATGCAGTATGTTTGTGTGTAGTGGAAGCAGTGTGTATTTGTGTATAAGGGATGTATTGTGTGTTTCTGGTTGTGTGTAAGGGATACATTGCATGAATCTGTGTTTGTATGCATAAGGGATGCAAGGTGTGTGTCTGTATGTGTGTGCATTGAGTGTGTGTAAGAGATGCATTGTGTTTCTGTGTATGTGTGCAAAGGATGCATTGGCTTTGTGTGTAAGGGTTGCATTGTGTGTGTGTAATGGATGCATTGTGTGTTTCTCTGTGTGTAAGGGAAGCATGTTGAGTTTCTGTGTGTGTAGGGATGCATGGTGTGTTTCTGTGTGTGTATAGGGATGCATTGTGTGTGTGTGTATGCGCGTAGTGTGAAAGAGCTCCCTGTCTTGCCCCCTGTCCTATGGAGCTGTCCCTTCTGTCCCTTAGAGCTCTCTCCTGCCCCTTAGTGGTCTCTCCTCTCCCCCACCCTCCCCTAGCGGTCTCTTCTCACACTCACCCACCCTCCCTTTGCTCTTCTCATCCCCCCCTCCACCCTCCATGTGTTCTTCTCACCTCCCCCCTCCATGTTTTCTCACCTCCCCCTTCCCTGTGTTCTTCTCACCTCCCCCTCCCTGTGTTCTCCTCACCTCCCCCCTTCCTGTGTTCTTCTTACCCCCTCTCCTCCCTGTGTTCTTCTTACCCCCTCT